CAACAGAGAGGAGCTAATCTCTTTCCAGTGTTATTCTATTTCTCAAGACAAGAGTGGCACTACTACTCCAGTTCTATCAGAAAATATGATCTATCAAATAAACAAACTGGAACAAATAAGCATTTATCAAAGTTGGGGTATTTTGTTGGTGAACTAAACAATAATGGTATTATTACGAAAGCAATGAGCATTATGTTGCGTTCTTAAAATATGTTCGCTTTAGTCAGAAGATTAAATAAAGTTGCAATTAACGAAATTGTTTTATTTTTCCAAAATTGTTTTCCCTCGAATAATACTTTCAAACGTCAAAACGGAAATTGACAGATTGATTTTTTTAGGTTGGTAGCAACGTAGACTTGTTCATAATATTGCTAGCATTGAAAATGTCAATTTTTATTCTCCGTTTGTGTATCTAATTAGTCAAGAGTCCCGTCTCTTATTTTATATACTCTTTGGCTGCAGCAACATTTTCAAGCTGTAGTGCTGCCAATCAATATTGGTAACTTTATATGGTAATTTTATATACTCTTTGATTGGTAAGGGCGATTTTTATGTGTCTACTGTTTCAATGTATGGTACAAATATCGTGGTGAATTAAATCTAGATTCTCGAAAATCATCTGATAGTATATGTTATGTTTCACGTTGTAGTAGTGAATAAAGTTTTTGCAAGCTACCCACATCATTTAATTTCAATCAGACGGTAGGTTATTCGTTTATACGGTAAACGAATAAAGTAGTAATAAGGAAAACATTTTTAATCGATCATAGCAAGATCACATAAAAAAAAACCATAGCGAAAAGAGCAATTACAGCAACTGGCAACTCCTACGTTTTAGAATTTTGAAGTATAAAAATTAAAAATGATTACGCCCCTTCAAATCTGTCAGAAGTGTATTTAGTGATTTAAAAAGATTTTTAATTTTAAGAAAACCACTTTCTTTTTCGGTATTAATACAATATAAATATACCTTTTTAACGCTATATAAATTTGTACCACGATAGTTGTAAGAAACTATCACTCGTTATTCGTTGAAATTATTGATTTTACGAGGATCTGTTTTTACATGAGATAAAATTATTTAGCAGGTGAAATTATAAACTTTAACATCGCTGTTCATTCGCCAAGATGACCGATTCAAAGTATTTTACAACTACCAAAAAGGGTGAGATTTTCGAATTGAAATCTGAATTAAACAGTGATAAGAAAGAAAAAAAGAAGGAAGCTGTAAAAAAGGTAAGAAAGGCATTGCTATATAAAAATTACATTATGCACACTATAAGATTTACCACATATTGTCGTTGATACGTATAATACGTAATTAAATAACATGACTTACTATATGATGTAAAAAATTAGACATTATTTCTTATAGGCCACAATGGTTGAGGTGAATCATTGATGATGTGTTACATATATATGTGTTCTATAAAAAAATACTCTTTATATAGAAATTTAAAACTATAAAATAATGGTTACATCATAGTGTCCTCTCAGCATAATTTCTATGTTAGGTAGTTAAGATGCTGTTTTTTTTTTGTATAATACTTTTAACTGTCCATTGAAACTCTTGTTTGTTTAGTCATTTACTAAAACTCTGAAGCCATGGTAAGGTTATATTAAACATTTTATATTACCAAAATATACTAGTAGTAATATTAGATAACATAAATAGTTTTTATTATAATACAGGTCATAGCTTCGATGACAGTTGGTAAAGATGTGTCAGCTCTTTTCCCTGATGTGGTCAACTGCATGCAAACCGACAACTTGGAGCTGAAGAAACTGGTCTACCTATATCTCATGAACTATGCAAAATCTCAGCCCGACATGGCCATAATGGCCGTCAACACATTTGTTAAGGTATGTTTTCGATTTTATGTGTGTTTATAACTAATATATTTAGTTCCATTGTTAGATCTAAATTCAGTTTGAAAAGATTTTATAACTAGCTTTTATTTTTAATTTGCATATTTGCAATTGTAACAATAACTGTTTTTAATATGTTAACTTTTAATCTAATTTAATGATAACATAATGATATTAAAATATCAAGAATGTGTTTCAATTATTTAAGACAATATTTTCAGTGTAAAGACATTGAATTTTGAGCATGGAACATTCAAAAGTATCATATATAAGTATAAATATCTTTCTACGTAAGTGTAGTGTAGATATCTGTATGTGTGTGACTTGTCTTTTTTATCGTTTTAATGTCTACTGTACCATATTATGATGGGTGGAAGGATCTACCAACATACCAGCTTGTTAAGGTAATTAAAATGATCCAAAAAAAATCAATCATCCGTCTGTAGATTTACACATTTAAGTCAAATTTGATGTTATCACTTATTACTTTCAGCACATTTGCATACATGATAATCGAGGTATAAACTCTGCATGGCTTAATAAATTTGTACGGTACATTTATGGTAATACTCATCACCTGCACACAGATGTGTAAATCTACATTTAAATAATAAATTAAATGTAAAAGCTGAAATATAGAATTGATACAAATATGAATTCCATGCCTCATTATATTTATTGACATTAGAAGCACATAAGCTATTTTTAACAGTATCATTTCGTAGAAATTCGCTATTCCTAAAATACAGACTGTATAAGGAGTCTATTAAATGGATTAGCATTACTATTCTTGTACTATTATGTGGCTTCTTTTTATTTTGTTATCACAAACATTGTCATGCACACAAACATTATGATGTTATATATTATAACATAAATTACCTGCTAAATTAACAGCTTATGATGACAGTAATTTATATAACCACATTAAAATATGTTAATGTGTAATCTTGGCTAGTTCAAATAAAAGAAAAATTACACTATATTTTGCTAAAATTCATTGTCTTGTTTCATAAGAATAGCGAATTTGTACTGCAAATTGCTTTTAGACATAGCTTCAATCAATGTATAGCTTTCATTCTTCTTTGTGATGCTATTTTAATGGTACACTGCCTACAGGATTGTGAAGACTCAAATCCACTGATCCGAGCATTGGCGGTGCGGACTATGGGTTGCATCCGAGTGGACAAAATCACGGAGTATCTGTGTGAGCCACTGCGCAAGTGTCTCAAAGATGAAGATCCCTATGTAAGGAAGACAGCTGCAGTTTGCGTTGCGAAATTATACGATATATCATCAAGCATGGTTGAAGATCAGGTTAGTGTGTGTTTACATAAACTGTTAAATAGATTGCAAACATGTTACATAACATGTGTTTGATACAAAATTCTAAGCTTATACAAGACTAGGTGTCCCCCATCACTCCCTCTGTGTGGGATTAAGAAAAACTTAATTAGTAGTCTGTGTTCTTCCAGGCTATATCCTACATCTGTACCAAATTTTAGTGAGGTCCATGTAGCCATTCTGCAGATACCTTCTAACAAACATCCATCCATACATCCAAACATTTGCATTTATAATATTAGTAAGATATTCAATGTAATAGAATTTGGATTTGTTTAACATTCTTTTTTTCAGGGGTTTTTGGATCAACTGAAGGATCTATTAAGTGATTCTAATCCAATGGTGGTAGCCAATGCTGTAGCCGCACTCTCCGAGATCAATGAAGCCAGTGTATCAGGACAACCGCTTGTTGGTAAGTTAAAGTTTATAAAAAGTCATGTATAATTTAATAAGAATTGC